TATCCCTAGTCTTTATGATGACACATTAAGAGGTGTTGGGATTAAAGTCTACAGATTCAGGAAATCTTAAATGATCTGAAGAAAAAGTCGGTTTGTTGCAAAAATTGGAAATCTTCCATCCAAAGCTTCATAGTACCTTCTCTCATAAGAATCATAATGATTGGTGATTTATCTGCTTTTCTTCACTGAACTATATCCTTTCTCGGGGGTCTCTTGCTGTTCAGCTTCCCTTACGTCTTGGTAAAATCTGTCCCATCCCCCCCTCCAAACCGTACCTTTAATTTTGCATGGCTTCTCAATCACATCATGGCCTAACAACTACCTGCCTCTGTCTCCTGAGTGCTTGGAATAAAGGTGTGTGCCACCATGTTGCACGAGTCTAACAGCTTTTAATTAGATCGGACATCCATTTCCACTGAGAGGATTGGTCTGGGCTGCTAGTGGGTTCATTACATATAGAGCTGGTAACCCACTGTGTGGCATGCCTTGGATCACACACCTACCTCTGGCTCTGTTAGGTGGCCACTCCAGAGCTATGAGCCCAGCGGGTCTGGTCTGTCCTAGTAGGTGTTAAAGCTGGCCTCATAGCCAGACCAGGCCAGGGCTGTTGATTAGGGTTTCAAAAAGGCTTTCTTCTTGGGGTCTGTCAAAGCTATTTGATTGCTTTGTTCTTGGCTGTTGAGGGAAGACATAACTCAGCTGCTGTATTTCCGCTCGTTTTCTAGATCTTTTAGCTTAATCTTGCCCCGAGTCCGGTCTTCAGTGATGAGATGAAGAAGTCAGTCTGACCATTCAGAACTGGAGCTAGTCCCAGCACATTTCCTGCTTTGCCCTTTCCATTCACGAGACCGTGGCGTGGAAAGCCTGTGCCCGTGTCTGTGGTCTTGTTGAGCCACATCCTTCCAAAGAGAGGCAGAGCTGCTCGGGGGGCTTGGAAAGTTAAATAACAGTTGCTGTCTAGTTTTACCTGCTATTTCTTGTGACTGGGCCCGCAAAGCTAGGCCAGATGAAGTTATTTTGTAGTAGGAAAACACTTAAATCTGAAGTCTCCTGGAAATGCTGAGGTGTTTGACATGTGAAACATGCAAGGTAACTGAAGGGTCACTTTCAGAGCTGTTTCTAGTCTAGAACCCTCCCGAGTATGTTGAAGTAGCAGCAGCAATTATCATGTACCATTTCTAAGTAGCAGAGTTGTTATAATCATGTGGGTAACCGCTATGCAAGTCACCAGGAGCTAGCCCAGCATTCAGAAGCTCTCAGTCTGAGGTGCTCCAGTCTCTGCTGAAGGGCAGAGTTGTCCATGCCATCATGATGCCAGAAATAGTTTCCTTCCTTGTTGACTTTCAAACTGGATCCTTTTAGTCTTGGATGGCAGTAGTCTTTCTTTGTTTCCCCCCTCCCCTTTGGAGAACATCCACCCCCTTTGAGAACCAGATGGTGTTCATTATTACTTTTAATTATGTGTGTTGTTATGCGCAAGTGAGTACAGATGCCAGCAGATGCCAGAAGCATTGAATCCCTTGGAGCTGGAGTTGCTGGGAACCCAACTGAAGTCCAGTATGTGTTCTTAATCACTGGGCCATCTCTCCAGCCCCTTGTTTGTTTGTTTGTTTGTTTGTTTGAGGAAGAAAGAAAAGAAAAAAGTAAGGAAAAGTGGGTTGGAGAGATGTCTCAGTGATTAAGAGTACCTGTTGCTCTTGCAGAGCTGTTTCCAGCTTGACTTGGTGGGTCACAACCATCTATTAGTCCAGTTCCAGGGGATCTGATGCCTGCTTCTGACCTTCTCTAGCATCAAGCACACACACAGTTCACATACATACATAAAATGAATGAATCTGATTTTAAAAAATGCTTTTAAGGGTATTTATGAAGAATGAAGAAGATCTTAGTGAGATGGCTTGGGGTGTTTTATTGTGTGCATTGTGTGTCAGCTTTACTTGCTATATACCTAAGTGTTTGAAGAAAGACAAATGTAAAAAGAATGTGTAAGGGGCTAGAAAGATGACTCAGGTTAAGAGCACTTCCTGCTTGTTCAGTAGAGTCAGGTTAGGTTCCCAGCACCAACAGCTCCTCACAGCCATATGAAGCTCCACTTCCTGTGCTTCAGTGCTGTCTCCTGACATCCATGGCACCAGGCTTACATGTGGTACACATACTTATACAGGCAGGCAAAACACTCATACATATAAAGTAAATATAAATCTTTTTTAAAAAAATAGTATGTAAAATGATATGCCACCCTTCATATAAGTTAAGGGGATTATAACCCACAAAACTAGACCATTATCACAAGAAACCTTAAGTTGTTTCAATAGAGGCTTCCAAATGCCAGACTTAGACAAATGTGTGCTTCTTGTAATAATGCTTAATTTACAAGGGGAGGGTGTAAAAGTAACTGCTCATTTGAACAGAGGAAATACAAGATAAACTGGATCTCAGTAAGAGACCCGCCTTTGGCCAGGGGGAGATGGGAAAGAAGTGAGAAGAAGGAGGGCATGGAAAGAACATGGTTAGATAAAGGGAAGAGGTTGGTACTCAGAGCTGTTTGGCTGGTGGGATCACAGTGACATTCCATAAACCTGGAAAAGTAAGTAAGAAATCAAAAGTAACCAGGATTCAGTGAAACTGAAATGTAAGTAGTTGCAAATGAGTCTAGGTTACAAATAAATACTGTGACTATAGGGAAGGAAGGGCAAGAAGAAAACTGAGACTACTGTATCTAACTATATTCTACTGCAAAGTTTATTTCTCTCAGGAGAATGGTTAGCAGCCCTGAAACAATATATGTACTGAGGAAAAAGATATATGGAATTATGGGATAGATAATGACAGCCAGGCTTCTCCCTACCCATCTCTAGAGATTTGGTACTGGGACTCGGAGAAAAAAGTTACAAATAAGAAAAAGCCTAGAATGAACTGTGAGCATAAAGTGGGAAGTGATTTGAACTCCCGGCTTCTTGATAGATGGGAACTAAATGAAGACCCGATGGGTAGTATATATTCTTTCTAGTTCTGTTTGCTGGGACGGTCTAGAATCCTACAGCAGATTTGGCACCCATCTCCTGGTTTTTCAATACTGTGTGCCAGTAAGAGGAGAGAGGGCTTCTTGGGGAAGAGCAGGGAAAAATTAACCAATGGCTGGAACATTTGTGTTGTCAGAAATATGAAAGGATTGAAAAGCACAAAGCAGACCCAAAGACACCAACATGCTTGGGAGTCACAAAGATCAGATTATAGCACACCATAAAATATATATCTATGAGTCATGCTGTTATTAAACGTAAGTAAATATGCAGAAGGGACAGGCAGCTGTAGCGACCCTGGAAACTATTGTACGACAGATGCTAACACACTGTTCTCTAAAGGAGGAGGTGGGAATTTGTGTATTTCCCTTCAGCAAATGTGGGAAAGCACTCATAGTGAGTGCCTAAGGGAACAGGCATGACTGTGTTACCTCCTAATTACAGAAACAAGTACCTCCCCTGCATTGGTTTTTTGACTCTATTTTAGAAGGTTAAATATTTTAGATTGTGTGTAACAGGTCTTATAGGCAGAGTTTGGGGTAAACAGGGCTCCGGTTGAGACAGTTGTGTCTGCAGTTCCAGCAAAGCATAGTCTTGCAGATTTGTGTGTGGGAGTGAGTGTGTGTGTGTTTGAGAGAGATGGCCTCTCTCTCTCTCTCTCTCTCTCTCTCTGTGTGTGTGTGTGTGTGTGTGTGTGTGTGTGTGTGTGTTTGACAGAGATGGCTTTGTGTGTGTGTGTTTGAGTTTGAGAGAGATGGCCTGTGTGTATGTGTGTCTCCATTTTGCTTGCTTTAGTGCATGTATTCTGTACATCCAAACATACCAGGCCTTTGTAGTTAGGCACATCTGACATGAAACTGTAGTTTTCTCATCATTAACTGTAGGATAAGTCACTCATGAGTCTCTTCCTTATTTTAGGCTGGTAGTATTAGTAGTGTGAGGACAAAACTTGGGATGACCCACTGAGAGTAAAGGAGGTTGTGTATTTTTTTTGTTTGTTTGTTTGTTTTGTTTTGACAGGGTTTCTCTGCATAGCCTTGGCTGTCCTGGAACTTACTCTGTAGACCAGGCTGGCCTCGAACTCAGAAATCCAACTGCCTCTGCCTCCCAAGTGCTGGGATTAAAGGTGTGCGCCACCACTGCCCGGCTGAGGTTATGTATTTCTGGAAGGGAGTGTGTGTGAGTTTGGGATCACAACCTGAGCCTTGTTCTTTAGGAAGACCTTCGGGTGGATGGCCGTGGCTGTGAGGACTACCGGTGTGTCGAGGTGGAGACTGATGTGGTGTCTAACACCAGTGGGTCTGCCAGAGTCAAGCTGGTAAGTTCTGTGGCCACCGTTCATACCCAGGTGGAGAAATGGGAATGGAGAATGGCCCTGCTGTCTTCGGGGAGGGAGTGCACATTGGTCCTGAGGAGACTGAAGTCCCTAAGCCATAATGGGAGAATACATCTCTCCAGACCCAAAGCACTCCTCATCTTAAATAACCATATCCCAAGCGGAAACAGTCTTGAAGAGGAGTGTGGTCGTTCCTGAGAAGGACTCTTGGGTGTGTCTGCAGGGTCACACAGACATCTTGGTGGGAGTGAAAGCAGAAATGGGGACACCGAAGCTGGAGAAACCAAACGAAGGCTACTTGGAGTTCTTCGTTGACTGGTCAGTACTTTGCAGGTTGTTTTAAAGGAAAGGGGATCCTTGGGAAGTGACTCAGGGGTAGAGTGCTTGCATTGCAATATCGGAGGCCTTGGATTCGATCTCTGCTTCCCCCACACACACCCTAAAAATGATTGAAAGATGAGGAAGATTCAGAAAGTGAGCCCTGACATGCTTATTTAGTCATTCATTTATCCAGGAGGTATTGACTCGCTTGCAGAGTACCAGGCAGCAGGAGGACCTCACCTTGTTTTAATCACCTGATACTTGATAAGCTTCTCTTTCTCTGTATGAAAAAGACCCCCAGCTTGGAAGCCCAACATATGGTCATTAATGAGGGTCGAGTGAAATTGCAAATGGTACAGTGCTTTGACAAACACCAAGCCCAGATAATCATCTGGTCCACGATACCCCGTTTCTCTTTCCTGCTCTTGCTCTGCAGAGAACACGTTTTCCTTGAAAAGTGGGTCAGAATCAGCCAAACAGCCTGTCAAGCTGGGCATAAGGCAGGCAGCAAGCATGCTGGGAGGAACTGGGGCTCTGTGGTATCTCATCCAGCTCTTGACCAGACCGTGTGACCTCCGTCTTTACCTGAATCTTTTCCTCTAAAAAGGGGGATGATAACGTGGTTATGAGGAAGAGTAAAAACAGCAGATCCTAAACAGCAACTGGCTCCCCAGGACTCAGAAACCTTATTTCTTTCCCGCTGTTTTAATTTTTTATTTTATGTGTATGGATGTTTTGCCTTCATGTATATATCTGTGCACAACATGGGTGCCATTGGAGACCTGCAGAGGGCGTTAGATCCCCTGGAACTGAAGGCACAAACAGTCATAGGTGCTGGGAATTTAACTTGGGTCCTCTGGAACAGCAGCAAGTGCTCTTCCCCACTGAGCCAGCTCTCCAGCCCCAGGATGGAGACTTTGTACTGTAAGGCTTCGTCTCAACCTCTGTTCCTGCCTTGCGTCTTGAAGCTAGTGCTGACAGCAGAGGGCCTTTGCTGGAACACAGTCCAAGAATGGAGTCATGTGAAGGGAATTCTGAGTGCTTGGAAGAAAACTCCAGGAAAACAAGAAAGAGTCTTGTGGCATCAGTTTCTTCAAAGACATGGAATTATTCTTGGAATGTGCTTTCATGCCTTCCAGGTGTAGCAGATAAGAGTGAGTTTACGTCAGGTTATTCTTTACAGCTGGCTATCGTTATTTGATTATATGCCCCTATGCGGGGGTGGGGGGGAGAAACCATGTTTTGCCACATGTAGCTTGTCCTTATGATTGTATACAGCTTGAACTCGTGAGAACTTCACTCTGATGACCTTTCTTAGCCCTCTAGGTATAAATTGTCTGACGCTCTGAATACATGAGACTTTAGTCTACCTCCTTTTTAGGCTTCATTCTTCCAGTTCCCACTGCCTCCAGAGCAGCCTATTGGGTTAGAGCCTGTTCTGGTTCCTGCTAGGTGTAGGTATGTATCCTGTAGTCCTGAGACCTCCTCCATGGTTAGAGGTGTTAGAGGGACCATAGGACTCAGCATATAGTTGTACACATGGCTGAAATTTGTCATAGCTTTGTAGATGCAGCAGCTTACTTGGGACATTTCTGCCCCTCAAAGATTCTACACTTAGGATTGTTAGTGAGTGTGGTCACATAAGCACCCTCTACAGTTCCACGGCTCAGACTCCTAGAAGAAAAGCATAGGACCAGGTAGCAAAGTCTGGGCACAGTGGCTGCTGTGCCAGGCCTGTCCATACAGGAGGGCCATGTCTGTGTGATAGTCTTCCTGTCTTCATTTTGGTTTTATTTAGTTGTTGTTGTTGGTTTTGTTTTGTTTATTTGTTTGTTTGTTTTTGTTTTTTTGGTTTTTCAAGACAGGGTTTCACTGTGTAGCTCTGGCTGTCCTGGAACTCACTCTGTAGACCAGGCTGGCCTCAAACTCAGAAATCCGCCTGCCTCTGCCTCCCAAGTGCTAGGATTAAAGGCGTGCGCCACCACCGCCCGGCTCTGTCTTCATTTTCAAACACAGAAGTTGATCCACACTGGACTCCTGTGAGAAAAAACAAATACAGTTTAGAGAGAGGAGGGGAGTTCCCAGGGTCAAGTGGCCAAAAAATGCAGATCTTTCTATTGCTCTTTCTATTCCCACAGCATGCAGAAGCCAGTTTAAGAAGGATGGAGGACTTGGGAAAATGATGTATATTCATCTTTCTGATCAGTTTTCTTTCCAGCTCATCCTCCACCCCCATCTCCAGTAGCCTCCTGCTTGGCTGTTCTCAGTAGCTGGGTTGTCTTGGACTTGACTCACCTGCAGGTTAGGTGTATAGTAGTGCTCTTCCTTCCTCTGCCGCTGAAGGAAGCAGGACACCTTCCCTGGTCTCATCTGCAAGTTGCATTGTTTACAGACAGAAGAGCTGTTACTCTTTCCTTTTCCTTCTTTTTTATTCTCTGCCTCGGTCATCCTGGGCAGACCACAGGCATGCTGGCTCTATTGTGAGAAGTGATGTCCTCAGATGCTGGGTTGCAGAAGGAAGGATTTCACTGAATATCTGTTCCTTCTCTCCCCTGGGATTCACAGCAGCAGCCCAGAGAATGGCTTGTTCATATTCATCATTGTGAGTAAACTGAGCTCAGCAGGGCTTGCTTAGGGAGTGGAAGGTGATTATGGATGGCTTCCCAAGTCACTGACCCTGTTCTTACCAAGGTCCTGTTTTATCTTCTTTTTTTTTTAAAGGTTTATTTTATTTATTTCATATATAAGTACACTGTAGCTATCTTCAGGCACACCAGAAGAGGACATCAGTTCCTGTTACACATGGTTGTGAGCCACCATGTGGTTGCTGGGAATTGAACTCAGGACCTCTGAAAGAGCAGTCAGTGCTCTTAACTGCTGAACCATCTCATCAGCCCCCCTGTTTTATCTTTGTCTAAGTCTTTAGAAAAACTGATACAAGTCTGGGTTCAGAGAGGTACCTAGTGTTGAGGTGACCATTGACTCACACAGCCTGAGTATAAATGAAACCCAACTCTGGCACAGTTCTGTTTGTGTGTGCGCCATCTTTACCCTTATTCCGTTGGTCTCAGGAGACACTGTCTAATGGGAAGGACAATGTTTTTCCTGCAGCGTGACATGCAGAAATACCATGGCTTGCTGCAAGATGGAGTTCCTCTGTCCAGAATTCAGAGAAGTAGTCTCACTGTACTCTGTGTGTCTGAGTATGAGCATGTGACTGCTTGGCCTGCTGTGCTTGGCCTGCTCCTGTCCAGGTTGTCAAGGAAGGGTGACTCCCATGTGGCAAGATTCTTTGAACTGCTTCCTTTCAAAATTTAGTTTGTAAAGCAGCCTTACTGGCCTGGCTGAGAATGGCTGGCTGCTGGTCTATTTTCCTCCTAAATCTCAGGGGACCTCACTAGGAGCTCCGGTTTCCAGGGAGTTCTGAAGCCTGTCAAGCTGTGTAGTCTCAAGGTGGTGAATTCTAGCTTCCTTAGAAGGCTCAGCCAGTGTGGTTGGCCTTGGAGGCAGAGTCACACCCATACTCCTGGGTGTACCTTACTTTCTTGTTAGCATATCTTACCTAATCTTCATGATTAAGCCTATATTAAAATATCTTTACTAAAACTTTCAGTTCTGCTTTACTATGAATAAAAATAAAATAA